GAGAAAAGGTCAGGCTGCAGCTATGGGACATAGCCGGTACGCACCATAAAATGTTCGACCGGCTTTAAGCTCATGACTAACGATGAGCAGGTGGTGAATTTCGCGTCCCTCTTTCAGGCCAGGAGCGTTTCATATCCATGACCAGAATCTATTACAGAGGAGCGCTGGGCTGTGTTGTGATGTTCGACGTCACAAACTCATCCAGCTTCCTCAACTGTCTCCACTGGAAACGGGACCTGGATAGTAAGGCCATGCTGCCCAGCGGAGAGCCCGTCCCCTGCATTCTGCTGGCCAACAAGGTGACTCAGCGCGTTTGACCGGTGGATTATGCATCAGTGGTCTCAGCACTGAAAAAAAAAAAGAACCATCCGTTTATTTCTGAGAGCTTTTCATGAACATGTCAGGTCCATTTAACCGCTTTATGGCAGTTTTAGAAATCTGGAAAAAACGAGCAAACACTTACTTGGCCTCTCGATGATAATCGAGAGATTAATATCAGGAGATAATAAAGCTGTATAGCTCCTGGTAAAACAATAGAGTCACTATTGTCACGCAATGTTATTTCAACTTATTTTTTTCATTAAAAGAAAGAAAATAAGGAAAAACGAATTGATTTGACACAAGTTATTTTACAACTGGGAATTCTGGCTTTGGGAGACAGGCGTTTCTTCCATGTATTAAATATATTACTGTGTAAACCGGACACAGAAGGCTGATTACGGTGAGGTGATGGTAACCGTCTGTTGTCTGGCTGGATGTGTCTCTAAGTGCGACCTGCCCGGGCGAGTTGTGTCAGCAGAGAGCGTTGACGGATTTAGCCGGGCCCACGGCTTCATCACCTGGATGGAGACCTCGGTCAAAGAGAACAGGAACGTCCAGGAGGCGATGAGGTGAGAGGGAGCGATTGTGAGCGATTCCGGGGTTAACTGTAGGATCACTCAGCTCCAGTTTTGGAGCATCAGCACAGAACAGAGAGACGATCCAAACAGCTACACAATCACAGACATGTGATCAACAACCAACAGAATCTAAAACTACGACTATGTTTCAACACAGAGGCACTTAAAAGATAAGACTGAATTATAGGGAGTTTACTTTTTTTTTTTAATTGTTAAAATGAGAAAAAAATCCTAAATAAATAATGAATAGATAAAAAATTTAAATTTAAAACTTAAAAAATTTAAATAAATAAATAAAAATGCATATAAAAGAAATATTTATATATATAAATAATTTTTTAAAAAATATATATTTTTTTAAATGACTCAGACTATTTAAACACAAGGGAAGGGACCCCCAGGTGAACACAATTGGTGATCAGGTAAGACAAGCAGACATGTGACACACAGGGGAGTGCAAGAGACCTGAAACAAGGGGAAGTACCTTTCAAAATAAAACAGGAAATGACAAGACAACCATAGAGACAGGACTAAACACCAAAAACTCCCCCAGACGTGATAAATCCGATCGACTGGTGTGTAGTCAGACATTTCTTTTACGTTAAACGCACTGCCCCGAAACAGTTTGGGCCGACAAACCAAACTAACGACGCCAAACTTGTTGCGTTTCAGGAGGCTGGTGCAGGATATCCTGTCGGCTCAGTCCAGTCTGGACACTCAGGAGCCCCGGTGGGAGGACGGAGTGGACTGTCGGAGGGACTCGGAGCTCAGCAACAGCTCTGGAGGCAGCTGCTGCTGAAAGCAAACAGATCATTTCGTTTTGTTTTTTTTGTTTTTTTCTCGTTAGCGCTTATTCCCTAATGGAGTCACGGGGGCACTGGAGCCTATCCCAGTGGTCAACGGGCGAGAGGCGGGGTCACCCTGGACGGTCCCCAGTCCATCACAGGCTCACACAGAGACACACAAGGACCAACAACCACACACACTCACATTCACTCATTTGGAAAATCCAATAATGCTAACATGCAGGTTTTTGGACGGTGGGAGGAAGCCGGAGAACCC